GGTGTGTGTGTGTGTGTGTGTGTGTGTGTGTGTGTGTGTGTGTGTGTGTGTGTTATAGACAGTGAGAGAGAGCATTTGAATGATTTGTCATCATCATGCTCCCGTAGAAGCGTTTAACTGGGTGAGGAAGATTTGTAGGAGAGATGCTTTTGTGTCTGACAATGTGTCTTCTGCGTGTTAGAAGTTGAAGACAATAAAACAAATAACAACAAAAAAGAAGAAGAAGATAAGGTAACAAAAAAGAAATCACCATAGACAAACGAGCAAACCCCAGTGTTACAAGATCGTCATCATAACCAGCTACCCACACGATTAACAAAAACAACAAGACAAGATCATGTGAAGTAAAAATAAGTAAACTTGTTATAATAATCGTTTAACTCCAGTCTGTTCTTCAACATACAGTTGTTAGCTGCCCCAGCACCTCCACTACTATATCAGCTATATCCAACAACCAACGCAACCACTACTACTACCACCACCACCGCTATTGCAATACATGCACTTTACCACCACCTCCATCACCACCAACAACAACAACGCAAACTACAGTTTGTTTCACCTACCGCGGCACGCCACACGAAACAATAAAGCAGTTACTTAAAATATAAGAACCTCCCCCCCTAAAAAAGACCCACAACAACAAACAAACAAACAAACCCTAAAGGCACTTACATAGGAAGGCTATTACTTATCTATGAAAACTGAAATCTAACCTTTTCTCTTTTTCTATTCCTTCCCCTCCCCCTTTCCAATCTCTCTTTTTACTTGAAACACCCAACCACCAGGACTCTCACCGGCTGACCTTGTACCTGTCCATCTCCGGCTACACCATCTCCTGTGTGTTGCTCATCATCAGCATAGCCATCTTCAGCGCCTTCAGGTAATTTCTGTCAAAGTTTTGGGTTGAGATTTTATGCACCTCTCGACCTTGTGCCGGTATTCTTGGAGTTCAAGAAGTCCCCCACCCGAGAAGATCTGTGGCTGTATATTATGGGAAATCTCCCCACCAGATCGGGCGAGGAAACATCGAAGCTCATCAGCGTGCACATCAGCTTTGCGACCAACTCCGCGGGGTGACAGGCGCATTAACATGAAACCAAGACCTTGATCAGATGAGAATTTAGTTGAGTTTGCAACACATAAAATAATGAAAATGATAAAACCTTTTTGGAATGAATTCTGTTATGATTTCTGTCGACAGTGGCCTAAAAGCACCTACAACTACATTAAAAATCTGCTACGTTTACCTTTTTTATACAAAACCTAACGTGCATTTGCCCATGGACTATTATAAAATCAATTACTTCAAACAGTAAACATAGTGCAAAATAAATAACCTTCAATTCCCGCAAAGTGAAAATCCCTCTTCAGGGTTCATGTTTTGCCATGGTTCCAGCGAGTACAATTAAAGTTGCCGTCTGTGAAGCCATAATTAAAAATGTAACAATAGGTGTTTTACTGCCCCATAGAGACTATGAACATTTGTGAGGTATTATTGTGGAATCAGGAGCTTGTCAAGATAATTAAAAGAAACCGGCTTTTTCCGGCGGTTTGGCAACTATTAATGAATTGTTGTTTTATTGCTTATCACCTTATATGTTCATTAATTTAAAAAGCACATTGATGTGGGGATTTTACCTAAATGTTTTCAGTTTCCAAGGACTCTCAAGCTACGTATGCAAATCACTACACTTAGGCGGCCATTTTCTCGCAAATTTTACCTCTGATTCCAGGTGACCCTCAACTCCTTTAAGTCCAAATATTGCAACTTCTGGGCATTTCTTTTATTAAAAAGGAGAGAAATGAAGGTGGTTTTAAGGTGATACCGATAACTCTATATCTTCAAAAATGGACAAGCACCTGATTCCACCGCGTCGTGAAACATTTTTTAGAAGGTGGGCAGATTAAAACCCTCTCAGTCAGGACCAACCCCGACCAAAAAAGGGACAATTCTCAGCAGACAAACGGAGATAATCGACAGAGAACCTCCTTACACTGTAATCGAACTCATATCCTCTGCATGCTACGGTGAAGCACCTAACCGCTGCACCTCAGACAGCATATGTGACGCCGTGATGAAGTCAAGATGGCTGGAATAGTTTGAAAAGTTGCACAGCATTAAGGGGTTTGTTTGGTTTAAGGGGGTTTAAACACACACTTAACGATCGATTCCTGTGATACGAACCGATTGTTGTTGATATCTGGGTGCTTTATGCTTAATGTGGATTTGCCTGAAGTCAGCACAGATGAAAATGGTGAAATGGTATAGGTTTAACGCCCCTAGCAATGCGATTAGGTTATTTAAGAGGCGGAACCTCTGAGTTAAACATCCGTCTCCGAACGGACCGAGCTTACTTTACTTCCATCCGTCGCTGATACCCTTTTGGGTGTCGCGGGAAGAAAGAGACGTCTCGCTGCCACCAGCTGGAGAACTCGGATCCGGGGGATGCCATGAGTTGTATAGCGTTTCCCTGACTCCATCTATCCAGGTCTTTCTCGGTCGCCCTCTGGCCTTGCTGCCATTCAATTTTTTAATGCTGGCACGTTGTGCTGGATGGTGAATTGGTAATCGCATGAGATGTCCGAACCATTTGATTCTTTGGTGTTGAATGTGACCGTGCCAAATGGGAAATTCGTATAAAGTGCCTTTCCCAAGGACGCAACGACGGACCGAGCTGATGCTCGAATCCCCGAAGCCGTAATCTCAGAATTACAGATCCGATATCCTAACCACTAGGCAATCGACGGTACAGCCAGCACTGGAATCATCTCACAATTCACTATAGATTGAAAAAAGTAGTCAGTTTGCATGCACTTGTAACGCTTTACTGCATTCCGAAAGATGGTGCGTGTGTCATTCCAACATTAGCAAGTGCAAAAATGTGTTGTATACGTATTCCTAATTGGCACTGTTTTTGGCTTTCTCGGATGCCGATGAACGCCAAAAATGACATAGTTGCTGCTGTTTTTTTAGATACACCCCTGATCTTATGTAAGGTAAAATCTAACACCTAGCCTTCCTGGATAAGGGCAAAAATCTCAGAGGTCCTGTGTGCCAGTCGCACACGTCAAAGATCCATTGGTGGTCCTAAAATAGATAAGAGTAGGCTTCGGTCGCCATCCAGGCAAAATTCCAAATTCCTACCAAACTGAAAATGTTTAATGTGTCCCGCGCGCTCATATGATTATGCAGTTGCGAGCACCGTAAAATATTTACCAAAGCAAAACAATGGTGCGGGAGAGCTAAAATAATCGCGTATCCCTTGAAGGTACACAGCTAGACGATAACTCCCCTCGATAGCCTACACATTCCAGTTGGCCATTTCAGCTACCCAAGGATTTTAGCATCACAGCCTCTTAGGCACGTGCAACCATCGTTTGCTTGATATATTTCTTGTTAAATTTTCTTTGTAGGTTATACTGCAGTTATTATTTGTGTACTAATTCGACTTGAAAGACATGGATTCGGTTCCTCCATGTGCAGGGAGCGCAATATCTCGTCATTCTGTTGTTCTTCCTTCCTTTAAAATTGACCCCTATATATAATATAGTTCAGTTTAAATTTGAAATTCCGAGTCAATGCAATCACCCTCGACTGATCTAAAATCTGTCGATGGGCGTGTAAGACATTTACGTTCGAGGTTTCTGGCATAATAATATTTGTCTTTATGTGGTGTTTTACAGGCAACTCAGATGTACACGGGTCCTGCTTCACCAACATCTGTTCGTCTCCTTTGTCCTGACGGGCTTCATGTGGATCTTTTCCAACGCTCAGTTCATGATCAAGCCCGAAATGCGGAAAGACAACCCGGTGAGTGAATGATACTTGTTGTGCTAAACTGCAGAGTTCTTCATTTTTTGTCCTGATCTCTTCTTCATTGGCATATCATTTCCACTCATATCTCATGTCCCCAATAATGTTTTTGAAACAGCAAAATGATTGATCAGTCTAAGGAATATGCTCAGTATAACATACGTAAAAAACTTCAAAGGTTACCTTGCTTGCCTGGTCACCGTTTAACGCCGAAATGAATACCATGTCGATGACGTAGTGGGTCACGTCTTTCGACTTTAAATAGCAATATCACCGAATAAAAAGACGACATTCTTTTAGGTCAGATGCACCAGAAGCTATCAAGCCAGGTAAAGAATTTTCAGCTTAGAATCATTAGTAGAGTGAACGGTTTTCTTACTACAAAGTGGTCAGATCCACCCAGAATAGAATACTATGTTTGTATCCGATTTTGTCGGACGACCGTTTACGATAAGTGAATGCGCTCATTAATAGAAGTCTAGAATAATAAACTATTACTTCTAAGAAAGTATCTAATCTTTTGCGTGTGAACTGAACATAATAATGCGTATTCAGACGCGATATCTCGAATAAAAAATGTGCGGTTTCGTCATTTTTTTCGGGTATCTCTTTTAAAGGAAAAGACGTTGATCTTAGAAATTCTCTACAACGCTTGCATTTTCCTACAAAAGTTTTCTTTCTTTTGCCGTTCCTTCTCTTATCAGCTTGTTAACCTCTTGAGTGAAGCCAGAACCCCATCTTGTATGCATAGTAATATTAATAATATTATTGCAGTAGATCGGTGTGTTTGGCGAATAACACAATTAGCTAACACAGTGATTTGTACAAACTCATTCCTTGACGGCTAGGTCTTTAGTTTATTCATTTTTTAAATAGAGAATACAAAGTCATGACGAAAATCGGTAAAGCAGAAGCTTTTGTTGAAAAATTGATTTTAAACATCAATGCTACTGGATTGCAATGTTTCCCATTAGAGCATGGTTTGTTTTCCAACCAAAATTGAATTGTTCTGCAAGAATTGTGCAAAGATAAAATATTTTTTTCGTACACCTTTTCTCATATAACCTGGAAAATGACAGTCTTTATAGAAATACCTTCGTTGGTACAGTGTAGTGATACGTTACTTAGAAAAGGCATAACATCAACACTTGTACTTAGAATAGAGCATGGTCCAGTACTTAAAAACGTAAGCAAAAGGAAAATAAGGTGACTTTATACGTACGAACCATTGCCTAACTTATCTTCCTATAGCTTTGCTTGGTTGAACTGCAGTTTCTTTTTAAAACATGTTTCTCTATATATTGGTTTCAGGCTTGGTGTAAAGCAATGCACGTGATCACTCAGTACTTTTCTGTGAGCAACTACTTCTGGATGTTCTGCGAAGCTTTCTTCCTACACACCATCATTGTGCAAGCTTTTTCAAAGCAGAAGAAGCTTCTCATGGCTTGCTACTTCATCGGATGGGGTGAGTACATTGATATCAGTCTTACACTGCAGTATTTACTAGCCATAAGAAATTCGTTGTTTTTTCAGGGGTTTCTAGACGAAACAGTGAGCATGCCACTAAACGTCTATCAAATAATTCAAATGTTGAATTAACAAATAGCAAGGGAACTCAAAGATTAATACACGACATACATCAAATTTATTACACTTGCGGATCAGGTTTCAGAATAAAAAGACAAATTACTTTCAACCTGACCAGTAATAATTTATTTATAGAACCACCAGCCATACATGTCCAGGTACAGTTTTAGCCTAAAGTACTTTAAAAAAGGAACGCAAAGAAATGCTCCGATGCTGTGTGCCTGAGGATGCACGCAAAGTTAACATCGAGTTGGCTACCTCAAATATTTTTTCAGACCTGAGACTATTTACTCACAGTATTCACATTAGCTTGAAGTACAAAGTGTTGTTAAATAATATAGCTTTGTGTTTCTTTATCAACCAGTTTTGTTTTAAGCTTCCTATAACTCATGAAGGGTCCAAATGGGACGACGGATGACTATCCATGCTCCGACTTAACCCGCTTGTTGTGTATCATAAGAAACAACATTTTGTAGAATCAATGAACGCTAGACAGTTTCCCCTTAGATTTGTAGCAGCGTTTGTTTGTGGCATCTGTTTTGATTTGTACGAGATTGGAAACCTACACGCTACCTTTACCCATCTGCATTTCTCACTGACATGCAAGATGACCTGTTTGTTATGTGTAGATAGACTGTACTTGGATGCCAGAGATGGGAAAATCGAAATCAATTTTCAACGGTTGTTTTTCTTATTGAAGTTTTAAATAGTCATAATGTTGTAGACGACAATGCTTCAAGGCCCCACGGAAACATAATTCTGACTTTATCAAACTTTCTAAAGATGCAAATCAATACATGTCTAGACCCCTATTATTACAAACTCGAGCACGACTTTTTTTCATTACTTTCTGATGTGGCAGTTCTGAATCACTGACTTAGTTGTGTTCCCTTTGGATAAGCCTACCCCCCGCACCCACCCCTAGTCTCTATCGTTTCTGATCTTCATGACATAAAAGTAAAAGTCTTTTCGGAAAGATAGTTGTCGCTGTAGTTAACCCAGTTATCAGAGAGTGATGTGATAATGGTAAGCGTCAGAGCTAATGGTTCAAATTGTGGGTTTTGAGGTCAAGAAACCTTTTTTTCCTCTTTGTTAATCACAATGGCAGCTGTCCATTATGCATGATAATATGTAATATCGGTCTTTAATCAAATAACGTTTGAAAAGCTCAGTCCTCCAATTGAGTGACAATTACTTTGGTAAAGAGTTACCGTATCAATAGAGATCAAGCAAAGTCACAACAGTGATCAGTTGCTATTTATGTCGGGGATTTTTTTTTTGTAGTGAGACCTTCAAATTTAAATGCTTAAATTACGATGCAACAGACAATGAGATTTTAAAAATTGATTTATTTTAGGGGAAAGTGATTGTTTTTCGAACCTCATACCAGTATCGGTTTTTCTTTGTTGTTGTTTTTTAAAAATTGTATTACCCTTATACAAATCTGGACAGAGTTTATGACTTTTGTGGCCACTCGAATCTCTGCTGTATTAAACTAAATAATTTTTCGTTGTGAGGACGGAAGTATTTGTAAAGTTTTTTCTCTTCGTCTGCTGGGAGTGTCTCATGGGGTCTGCCTTTGGACCCACCGAGACAGTGCACTTGTTCATTTTCATCAAAACCCTTATAGCAGAAGAAACCAGACGTCTCGTTTTTGTAAAAGTTGTCATCCGTGTATAGTTTGGGTATCTTTAGAAACTCCTCCACCCTCTGCATGACTGCTAACGGCTTGGAAATCAGATCATCTCCATTTAGAACCAGGATCTGGCTACGATTGAAGGTGTCAAACCACGGTGCGAGATGCTTATAATACGTGCTCACCACCACGGGGTATTTGTTTTCGCTGATGGCGTCAGATCCTTCAATGTTGTAGAAGTTCTCCAACGATACCGGTGACTTCGTTATCCTCTGGGCATAGGCTGAGAGAATTCGGACAATAGGATCCCTGACCAACACAATCAGTTTTATGTTTGGGAAATGTTCCTTCATCTGTTCCCTGGCGTTTGGGGTGATAACATATGCTGGGGTTTTCTCTATGGTGACCTGGTTGCTGGATGGGGTAAAGAAAGAATGAAACACTAATGGAATACTGGAGACCATACTTCAGAATATCTGATCCGATTATTTTTCATGATTAAGCGTGGAAACAGTTCGTAAATCGAGAAAAAAAAGTAATTGACTACTCTTCCTAGCACACGGGGAAAGGAGAGCGTAACATATATGCCGTACCAGGAATAGAAGGATTACGTCATAAAGAAATATAATGCCTGTTAGAGAATAATTAATATTATGGCGAAAAAGTATCTTCGTGCATTCGACAATCTGAGATTTTTTTTTACAAGTATCACTTTACCCGGTACTTCAAAGGTGCCTGGTTTTCGTCCCTGACTTTTTCATATCGATGGTGTCAAGAGGGTTACAGTGCTCTTTAAATGTCAAAACTATATTCGAGTTTCTCTCTTTTGCTTTCCAAGTCGGACAAACGCCATTGTCTTAAGTTTTTCTCACAAACACCTGAGAATGTGGCGAGGGGGAGGGGGGGGGTGTGAAGATAAAAACAGAAGGGAGTCGTGCAAAAGAAGGGAGTGAAGATCAAGTCACAAAAGAAAATGGCTAAAAATGGATATAAAAAATATCCTACCAAGAAGCATTTAAAATAGACATCTTAGCTTTGATATTCTTCTTTCCACCCCTTCCACGGTCCTCCTCATTCTTGTCTTCGTCGTTGTCCTCGCCGTTGTCGTCGTCCTTTTCTTCTTTCTTCTCTTCCTCCTCCCCTCCTCCTCTTTTCTATCCGTGCTACTGCATAAATACAACCATCCAAAAAAAGATAGAATAAAGATCAGGGCACTGTCATGTAAGCAATTCAAAAATTTCGGAGTAGGGAGAAAACATAAAACACGACGATGTGCGAAAGGCACACCAAAGGAAAACACGTAAAACAATCTAGAGAAAACAAAAACGAAATCGATGATAACGTCAACGACGGCAAAATAACGACATCAAAGATAAAGACAACCTTAGCAATAATAACAACAACAATGTCAACCGTAACAAAAGAAAAAAAGTCCTCGCACCTGTAAGATAAGGGCATCTGGTCCCTGTACCATCCATAACCCTTAACAAAGAACTCCTTCATGTCATAAAAGTGCGTCTCCGGTCCGCGGGTGATCACGTAAGGATGTAGTCTGAGGTAGGTTAAAATTGCCCTGGTGCCGCACTTTGCGAAACCAATGACCACGCACTGAGGGAAACGTTTCTCGCGTATCTCCCCCATTGGTTTCGAGTACGATGGTGCGACCACACGCAGAGGGAGTGGCTCCGACCATCTGGTTTGTTGTGGGCCTTGTTCTCTGAAGGCGATGGTAGCCACAAGATACAGTATAAGACATAGTAGTACACACACTAACACCAGGATCTTTCTCAGTTGTTCAGTTTTATAGAATTTGACTAACATTGTCAGGTTCTAATTTATATAAGTTCAACACACTATAAGGTACAAAAAAGTTAGTTAAAGTCATCGATAGTTGGTCCAAAGGTTACAGTAAAGAGTACGGAAGAAGGGAGGAAGGAAAGAAAATAATTATATCATAGCGAACAAAGGTTTGTCACAGAAAACGGTGTACTGCGCGCTGATTGCCTACCAATGTAGTTCAAAAATCCATCTTCATCATTGCTTTTAGAAGGAAATGTTGCCTTATTTTAAATAACTTGCTGGGGGGTTTTACTCGGGGTAGAAATAACCTGACTGAAAAGCCTCTAATAAGAAAACGATAGCAGAAAAACTATATTATAAAGATCCTCTCACAGCAAACAGCGTTAAAAGATCACCTCTTTGTACCCAACTTTTCTTGCTGAGCTCAACTCGTGCAGTTGTTGGGAACAGCTTGGATATTTTTAAAATATTATTATTATTAACTGGACACTTTTGAGAATGGAGACTTTGTTAATGTCGATGTGCAGAGGAGAAAATGAACGCGAAAGGAAAACAATACTCTATTTGAGGGAATCCTCTTGCTTTTAGCACCATCAGAGCATCATTATAAAACACCTATCTTGAGTACCACCTTTTTGTGTTCTTTACAAAGACTTCAAACTTGTGAACTTATCGCAAATGTAATAATATTCAGACTTCAAAAGGGAAATCTGAAATTTAAAAAACCCATAAACTATCAGTACATGAACTGTATGATCTGTTTACAATCTCAAATATTCCATTGCAAGGTTATTATTGCCACACTTGTGCTTGGTATATGATAAGCTGCTTAAAAGTAGAAATTTTTGCACTTTCATTTGGACGAATTTGTTTATACAATCTTCTTAAATAATAATTCAATTGTTCATCACACCACCACGTCCAAATCCCTAATCACTCAGCAACTGTCTACTCGACTGCTCTTGCTCACATCCACGCGAACTAATCACCTTGAGAGCGTACGTTTTCTTCACAGTCGTAAGATGTAATCTTTGACATAAAAATAAATAAATCAGATCCACTTTTTCCCCCTTTTGTTGTCTTCTACTTCAGACGAAGTCGTCCCTGTGATACAGCCAATCACGTCATTGAGAAAAAGTTGACACTTAGTAGGATCTTGCCAAAATCAATTTTCACACTTAACTCCTTGTCCCGTTCCTTCTCCCGAACTGCTCGTCAAACACCTTGGGTAAGGAAATGATTTTTATGGGCACAAACTTTTGATGGATCGAAGTCTTTAACAAGTCAAAGGTGTGCCTAGTAAGACGACTGTTGATAATGCTTGATACTCTTTTGGTGAGAGGTAGCTTGCTTTATACTCTTTTGGTGAGAGGTAGCTTGCTTTATACTCTTTTGGTGAGAGGTAGCTTGCTTGATACTCTTTTGGTGAGGGGTAGCTTGCTTTAAGGGAAAGTGTCACTCTATGATTGATTCTGCATAGTATAATGTTAATACTGAAACAAAGTCTTTAATTCAGTGTTTAGTAAGAAAAGGCAAACTTAGGTTTGTTTTTACACTTTTAGAGCTAGAAATAACCGCCCAGTTGTTGTGGTATTGTTTTTTATGTAGGTGTGTATGTATGTGTGTGGGGGGGGGGGGGGGGGGGGGGGGCTTAGACCGACCCTTCTCGTCAGGGCCAATTAGAACTAAGAGGACTACACAGGAAATAAGCAGAGTTATTCGACAAAAATTTTCCTTGGACAGGGATCGACCTAATCGCTACACCACAGATGCCGGTGTGTTGGCTTCAACGCCAAATCCAATATAGCGAAGTTATTTACAAGGTTGGGGGCCCCTTAAATTACCACCAATCCTCGCTGGGATCAAGCTGAAAGAAATAATGTTTTGATATTATGCTTAATAAAAAGCTTCAGAAATGAAAGTTGGAGTTTTCCCTTGAGCCAATATAGAAAGAGGCGACAATTGGGGGGAACTTGAAAGGGTGAGGGGGGGGTAGTTGTTTGCTAAGATGATAGAGAAGAGACTTAGACTTTGAGCAAAGTTATTTTTATTTCTTGTTTATAGTTTGCGCATTCGCTCAGATCGCTGGTTTTTATTTTAATTGATTTCATCTTGCTGGTTTTTTGGTAGACTTTAGACAAAGTAAAGTTTAAAAGGTAGAAGACAATTCGCCTTTGGGAATCGAACTGTAATTGAAAACGTGCGTTTCTTTCTGCAAAGACCTCCCCCATTGTAGAATTTGAACGTATGAAAAAATGTCTATTGTTGACAGATTTACAGAACTCAATAGGAGCAACGGGACTAAGGGATGATCCTTGAGCTCAGATAGTTTTAAACTCAGCTGCGGTACAGATGGCTTTGGTACCAATCTGCATTGGGTCGTTCCTATGCTTGGGTAGTTTAGGTCATTTTCAAGTCTTTCTAAAACAGGGCTCGGTACTATCGGGGGGGGGGGGATTCAAAGGTCTTACTCTTAAATGGCCGCACAGTATTGAAAGAAATGTTTTACCCTTAGCGCACAGGGATTAGACTGAGCGGGTTCAAACTTAGCACATCGGAGCTGTTTGTACACGGCAGATTGTGTACTTAACACTTGCTCCTCAGATGTGAGCATGTACGGGCTCAATGCGTTCACAAAGAACATTACCGAAGTCAACGAGCACAGTCGCATTTGTCTTCCAGGGTTAATAGGTCCTGCTTGGGTGTCGAAGTCCCCTAATGTTCGCTGAGCACTCAGACTGGGCAAAATGGTCCCCAAGAGTTGAGTTGATAGGGTCAAACTGTACAATCATAACTCCTATCACTTACAGTTGACGTCATATACAAGGACTGGGGCGACAGTCAATCACCGAGACATGAAATCTCCCCAAATGCGTTTCCCTTTGTCTGTTTGAGGAAAGAGGGATACACCGACATCAATTGTGACCATCTTGTGCTGACGAAAAAGCAAGCATGGCCAGTAGAAGGAACAAAGAAAAGAAAGAAAAGAAGAAGGACGTACCAGTGGCGCCCTCACTCTTTTCGGGTTTATTGTCCTGGGGGACAAATGGTACCGCCAAGAGCCCTTAAGTTATTATAGATTCTTGATATGGACGTTCTTGTATTATCTCAACCTTATCTGACCCTGGCACTTCGATGCCTTAGAATTCCAAAGTCCTGTCTGACATTTTTGGATGTTTTAAATCACCTAGGCAGTGAGGTCAGAAGCCAAATATTACATCTGCTCTATCAAAATCTTAAGATTATCTGGAGTAGTTATCTAGATATTCAAAGAATTGTATTCGAAAAAGCTTGACAGGTAGCGAAACTCATTTTTTAACGTCAAATTTATCAAAACTAGGAGATGAGCTGATAGAATTTTGTAATTTTAAGGTAGCGACTTGTGCGATGTTCATCCAGTCTCTAAACTATAGCGTCTGTTGTGCAATGTTTATGCTCTTCACTATTGCACTCGAGGATGTGGACTCGATTTCAAAATAATAGAGACGTTATTTTAGTGAGTACCCTCCCATGTCTGCTGAGATACTGTATTCTTCTCATCAATAACAATAACAGTAATGATGATGGGCGTTCAAGAAACCTATCATGAGGGTTCCATATCTGTTCAAAAGTCAGTGTTAACGATAGATGGTGTATTTGTGACTCTTGTCAAAACACCGACAACCACCCATAAGTGCAAGATTCTTTACCATCAATCCAGCATGATAATTTCAGGAGAGAAATGTCTTCCTGTGCTATTAAAAAAATGAAGAAGACAAATTTTGGCAAAAGAAGAACAGGGTCATGTGAAATTGTACATGTCTAGCGTTAGACTCTTGAATGCGAGCAAATATACCAAGAGTTACTCTGAAAATTTTGTGAATCCGAATTCCAAGCAAGCGGGAAAGCTGTTTAGATCCTTGAAAGTTTTTTTTAAAATAGCTCCAAACCTGCTTTTTGCACCTTGCGTTTTGTTTATTGCTGCAACCGAGAGGAATGTTATGTGAAGATTTCTTTTCTTTCACACTATTTTTACGGATTACTTAAACTGTCTCATTTCGTAAGATTTTATAACTAAGGCTATCACTTACTGTCAGTTCCACAAGGCTTCTTAAGGCTTCCACAATTTTCAACTGATAGGGTTCAGATTTCGAATGATGTCTGTACAACCATATTGCAACATTTTGTCAACATCATATAAGCACAATATTTAAAAAAAAATTTTTTTTTAGGGGGGGATTAATTTTTATAAATGTCACACCCCAACCCACCCCTAAAATTTCCGCGTTTTTCCTATACAGTACACACACGCTGCTAAAACAAAACATGCAGTTTTCTTGTTGACAAAAATTTTGTATTTTGTAAAAGTAGCAGTTGATGATCTTTTAATAAATAACAAAGAAATCGCTTTAAAAATGAAAAAGCCTCAGTTATTTTTTTCAAAGTCCTAAATTTTAAGGTCACCGTTACATCATATATTTATATATAT